TCGCCGAACCTCGGGGCCTTTGGGTCGAAAAATCTTGTGTTCTTGTTATTTTTGGTTGATTTATTTTCTGTTCTTGTTTACAAATCAAAACATAATATCGTATTTGGGACCAACAGTGGTATCAGAGCTTAGGAATTTATTTATTTTTTCGATTTGAGTTATTGCTTTCAGATCTGATACATTTTTCGGACACTGTTTTGAGAAATTTTGTTTTTCAGATTTGTTTAGTTTTGTTTTCAAAAGTTCTGGTGTTTCGATTCTCTGAAATTTTTGTGGATCTGAAAACTTTACTTACAAGAATTGATTAACTCGCTTTTGACTCGTTTTTGATTTGTTGTTTGGCCACTGAGTTCCTCACTGAGTTCCTGCAAATCGATTCAACTCACACTGAGTTTAGTGAGTTGGGTTGAGTCACACTGAGTCACACCGAGTTTACATCGAGTCACACCGAGTTTGCCATTTGCAGTGTACACGAGTCATTTATCTTTGCTGACAAGTATCACAGTATATATAACCGATATTTCTAAAGATTTTGGAATCAAATTTTCTTTAGCTCTACCTTTGTCTAGGGGTCCCTGTGAGAACCCTAGAATATGAGGGGATTAGGGCTTCGATTCAAGAAACCAATTCTTCACAAAAGTTTTGAAAAAACGTTTTTCTTGATATTGTGTAGATACTGTGATATAACAAATTCTTTAATTCTGTATTGATTTCTTGGTTATACTGTTGACCAGTACTAATAGTGGAATTGATCTGTTCAGGGGTTGAGATTATTGTTTTTGAAATTGTTCTTCGTTGGAGGTACATTTTTCTGAACCCCCTCTATTTACTGTGTGTAAGCATAATTGAATAGTATTTTCAATTCCTGTGAGTAATCTGTGGATTATTCTTGTATACTGCTGTCTTATTAAATTTGATTATCTGTTATTGTCGACTAAGATATATCTTTGGCTATATCGTATCTGTACACTGATAACACATATTGCACACCATGACTTCTAAAGTTGATGTTCAAATGTGGGATAGCAAAGGAGACTTTAGTCTCTGGCGCCAGAAAATTAAAGCT